TTTTAATGAGATCTGTCACTTTTTGTATTTGGCTTGTTCCTTAAAAATCTGTATAAATCATGAAATGGTATTGTGCTACAGAAAAGCATCTTCTACTTAGTAAAACAAATTACTTTGATTAAGGAATCTGAGTGGAAGAAATATACACCCTTCTGGTAAACAGTTATTTTTTTTTTCCCTATTGGTACAGTAGCATTCATTTAGGAAATTGCACAAGGCATTTAGAGAGATTTAATAAAGCTATTGATTGCATTATGCAGTACTAGGAAAGGGCAAAAGACATACTTATGGCATGGCTTAAATAAACTGATATTAGTCCATGCTTCCTCTTAACTTGTTGAATTTGCTGTCAAAAACGTGGAAATCCCAAGAGCAAGATACCTGCACTAATATCCTGAAGAAAGTTTTTGAAGAAATGAATGAAAATAACATTGTGAGAGGCACATAGATAAATTCAAATTATTTTTGTACGGTCATTTTTTGCAATAAAAGTAGGGATTATAAGGAAAAAACATGGAGTTCATGGAGTGAATAGTTTATTCCTGCATGCCTCCTGGGTTTATTAAGGAAAATGTCTGCGTAAAGACGCTTGACAGAAAATTATTGTCTCTCACTTTGTTCTCATTTACAACTTGTGGTTTCAAGGGTCTCAGATATTTATTTGGGAGACTTGTCCTGTATGCTAACAGAAAATGTGCAGAAATAATTCATACATCTAGTTTTTTTTCTGTTTACTGCTTTTTAACTTCCATCGTGAGTATTAGAAATTTAATACTGTCATATGTTCTGGAGTATCTAGCCCTTGGTTACATTACAACCAGCAGCTAAAACAAATAAGATTGCAGTGCATAATGTTAGTAGATGTGGATGTCTGTTGGTGTTTATTCATGCACTCATATTTATATGTATAGTGAGGATGTGTGCATGGGTGCAATATCCTTGTCCAGCTTCAAATGGAGGCGGTTAAATGTAGTAGAATCACCATATGAAGAAGATGCTTTGATGTTTGCAAGAGAGTAGGATGGTAAAGGGGGGGGGAAAGGCCCCACAGATCCATGGCACTCTGCATGAGAGAGCTGGATCTTTTTGCATTTAATCCTTTTCTGTTCTAACCTTGCTGTCTCTTAAAGTAAGAGTGATGTTCCCAGTTTGTGCTTTGGGGAATATAATGGTTTTTAACAGAACCTAGAAGATACCATGACTGAGTGGCAAAGATTGAAAACCAGTATCATTTGTACAAATTGCACAGATACTAAGTTCATAGATAAAAAAATCCCCATCAAATGTGTATTTTCTTTGTGGCCAACTTAGGTGTGAAATTGCTAATTTCTATTTTGCAGTATGATGATAGCTTGCTGATAATGTCAGAGGATTGTATTTTGATGTAAGCTCACATAGTTATGATGCCTTAATTAAATGTTTGGAAATAAAACAAGCTGTTGAGCTATGTACAATTTTTGTAACTTAATTTCTTTTTAATGAAAGTCATACAGAAATAGATTTAAAATAAGGTATTGAATCTATTAAATTAATCCAAATGCTGTCCTTCTATTCAAATAATTGTACTAGTATAGCATGTTAGTATGAAGCTCCAACATATTTTTGTCTTGTGATTTTATTTTAGATGTGTAATTTTTACTTGTTGGTCATGAATTTAGTCTCTGTGAAGGCCAGGAGGTAGAAACCCTTTATTATTCCAGCACTACATGGGACTCTGCACTGCTGTATCAGAAAATCTCAAGTAACAGTTTTATGACGCATGAGGATATTATTCTCTGCAAGCAATAACACACATTTCTATTTCCCCAGCAATATCCACATAATCAAACATTCACAAGTGCTTTACAAAGAATTTAATTAAATAGTGTGCAGAGTGACTGGATGCAGCATGTACACAAGCTGTTAGATATTCAGTAGTTCCCATTTTGCAGTTAGTGCAGAACACTTTCGTGCAGTAATATGTTGAATGATATTTCCATCAAAATGTGCATTATCACTCCTCCCTTTGTACCTTACTCCTTAAGAATGACACTAAAACCTTAACAGATGTCACCTCCAGAATCACAGGATACCTTGCTCAGGGCTCTAATGGTGTGATAAACAGGGAAATACAAATTCTCATGTTGAGACTTGAACATCACACATTGTTCCTCTGAAATCAAACGTTTATTACTCCCCAGAGAAAGATATAGATTATTGTGTCTTCTACCACAAAACTAGACGTGTTTGGAATTTTATTTAAAGGTAGTAGAAATTTTTGAAGCTATCAAAGACCAACCACTGGAAAATTAACATTGAGACTAGGATATTCAGAATTTAGATGTAGCAATAAGAAGCAAAAAATTTCATGACTGTGAGTATTTTCAGAGACCATTCTGTCAGTCAGTAGAGATTAAGAAAGTCTCTTTGGCATTAAAGTGTAGTGTATCAGTGTCTGTACTAGGAAATGATAGTGTGCTCATATTCACTCAACATTATTGGTATGCTCATGTCACCTGCAGGGATTACCATTCTGGAAACTGACAGGGTTATCTAATATGTTTTGTTTTCTCTCTTCAAAAAAGCCCTTTCAGCAGTAGCCGGTGCGTGAAAGGGCTTTTCAGGCTTGCAGAGAAATGGGGCTGTGTTGGATGAAAGTGATTTAAAATATCCCTCTGTGGCTGCCTTCCTGCAAGGTTTTGATCTGTCCATCAGATCAGGTTTTGTTGGTGTGTCAGTGCTGTAAAGTATCAGTCCAAACCAGAAAAGCAATAACAATGACACAAACAGTGACAGTCTCTAATTAGCCATAAATGTGTTTAGTGTGAGACCTCACCCTTGTTTCCCAGTTCCACAAGAGTTATTCCAGTTTATTACTGGATGACACTGACAAAATCTATCCATTTTGGCTGGAAAGAAAAACCAAAAACTACAAATGAACACAAAGGAGAGTAAAGAGATGAAAGGACCAGTGAAAAATAGGGGCTTGGTTTTACTTTTGTGCTTGTTCTGTTCAGTGTTTAGTTTTACTTTTGTGCTTGTTCTGTGTTTAAAGGGAAGTGCTGGAAACTTAATTGGGGTAAATAAGAACAATATTTATCTTCCGAAGACACCTTTTGGAGGAAAGTTAAATTGGTGTAAGAGAAGTTATTGCTTCCTTTACAGAATTGAGAATGGGAGAGATCCCTGTTTAATGTTAATGAAAACTTGCCATTAACTTCAGTGATTCCACGTGGTAATGTTTGTGTCTTTTTTCCCCCATCCCTATTCCTTCTTTGTATAGCAGACAGGAGCTTTTCATTTTGCATGTCATTTATAAAAAATTGCAGTTATTCTAAAAAAAATTGTACAGTTCAAGCTTCAACTGAAGAAGAAAAGGAAAACATATATTTTGAATTTACTCACATGCCTAATTTTGAACACCATATTTTGGATTTTTCCTTATTTTCTTTAATTAGGCTCATGTTCTAGTGTTTGCTTTTCTATAAAATATTTATTTTTTAGCATTTGAAATATGTCTCTGTAATTTGGATGTTTTCTGCATGTATTTGGAAGTACCTGCTAGACTTGCCCTAAATTCACTAGGAGGCTGGTATTTTTATGCTTCTTAAAGCAGGCCCTTTTTAGGAATGCCAGAATGTACCCAAATTCTCATTTCCCAGTATTTCAGTGGCAACTTCCTTTGAATTTTGGAGCAGGATTCCTGCAGTTTGTTTGTTCTCCAAGCCAATACCAGCACATGCATCAGCAAGCCAAAACAGACAAACCTAGGAGAAGTGTCAGTGCTGTAATACAATTTATAGTACTATTTAGAATAATTAGGTCAGAATTTCACTTGTTCATGTTAGGAAGTCACCCAGTGAAGGACCACCTAGACAGACTTGTGATAACTGCCAATGAACTAGCTTTGGAAGCAGAAGTAGTAGAGGCAAATGAGAGAGGAGTGTGGCAGCCAGGCTAATTAATTAAGAAGTCAGGCTAATTAGTTTGACTGGAGGGAGCACCATGCTGATGTCACATTGCAGCTTCCAAAATGCTGTGTGATTTGCACATGGGTTGTACTGGGCTTCAAATAGACAAACAAGTTGTTTCTGGGCTCTTTCAGAAATTTTTTGCCATGAAGCAGAATTGTGTATTGGTTCGTTTATGAACCTATATTGAACCTATGTAAATTTACTGTAATTTTAGATTTCTTTCCAAACTGGTAGTCAATTTAGTTCCTTTTCAATCTTGGCAGTAAGATTTTTCTAAGACATGCATTGTAGTATTGAGCTGTTCAGCCTCATGCCACTGGGACAGATTCCTTTGTGCTTTTTTTTACTCGATGAAGGACCATCGCATCTTGTTCCTAATATTTTCTCACTTAATAAATACAAAACTGAGGTAAAGTTTTTTAAGTTGCATATGGCTCCATTGTTCCATCTGGCAGGGCTGAGAGGTGGCTGTCAGCAGTCTTGCTCCCAGAGGATGCATGCTAGCAACAGTGTACACTGGAAAATGCCTTGTTCAGTAAGAACTGGGGATTCTGAACAGTTTGCCATTTTTCTTGATGTTATGAAACAATATTTCTTCAGTGCACCCCTACATGTCAGTCATTACATACAGTTTGATGTATAAATGTTCATAAAGGAGTTGCTTTAATGAAAAGATAAAAAATACTTGTAGTAAGAGTCTGTGTTACTGTGCTGATATGATATAGTAAACATCTGAAGCAGTATCAAACCCAGAAGTAAATCAACAAGGTGTTGTGAATAAGCTGGATTCTGTACAAAAAGCTTCATTAGAAATACTTAGTACTGTATTACATCAATAACATGGTTATCATTTGTGAGCAGATAGTGGCATAAGATAAAAATGAATACTTTATTAATGTTTCCTAAGAAATATTACCAGAGGGCTTTTCTTTTCCCCCATGTATGTTATATAAAATGCTTTCAGTGATGATTTATGGTCCTTCTTACAATAGCTCTTCAGCATAGTAGCTCCCACAAGGAGTTAACATATATATTTTCTATTTCTAGATCTGTTGGCTGTGCCTAAGCATCCATATGCTGCTATGGAAAACTGGGGACTGAGTGTTTTCGTGGAGCAAAGGATACTGCTAGATCCAAGCATTTCTTCTATTTTATACCTACTGGATGTCACCATGGTCATTGTACATGAGCTATGTCATCAGGTATTTAAGGTGTTCACATATTTGAGCTTAATGTCAGAAACCATGTGCTTTTCAGAACTGAAAATGAATTTGTATTGTACATATGGATGGTTGTGATTTCTATTGTAGCTGGAATCCATGTAGCATGGTGGTCTGTAAGACAAATCCCTCCAATACAGAAACTGTGAAGACTCAAAATGGGGATAGAAGAGAAAATTGGTAGCAATAAACAGCTTCTCTGTCTTCTGTCTGTGTGTTTGTGTGTCACTGTATTTGTTACTGGTATGTAGAATAAACTTGTTGATAGCAGATTCATGCTAAGCTTCATGTTCATGTCAAAAAATATTTTGGCTGAAATCAATTTAGTAGTAGTCTTTGTCTTCTGTTGTATGTACATATATTCATTTTCTTTTTCTTCTCAGTTTTTTTTCCCAGTTTGGTATTGACCCTCTCTGTTCACCAACGGTGAATAAGTGACTCTTTATGTGTACAGAAACTATTGTGTCAATATGAAAACTTAAAATAATAAACCCGTATTACAATTTATTTTACATTTTCCCCATCTTCTTCTCTCAAGCTAAACACATTACAAGTGTTAGTAATATTGAATTGAATGCAAATGTTATTGAAGAAATTTGCTACAGGGGCAGGAAACGCTTTCTTACACTCATAAGAGGCATAATCATAGCCTTCAAGTTAAGATGAATGAAATCCTACTGTGTAATCACCATGGCTTACATCTGTGAATTTACACAGTATTCTTTAAAGGCAATGCAAATTCTTAACACTTTCTGCAAATAAAAAGTACCATGTAAAAGGAAGTCATTGAAATGGTGTTTTGGGAGATGAACCTGAAAATAATGTTCGGTTCATGTTTGTATTTCACATTAAATTGGTCGATGAATATGAAGTCCTCAACTAAAACAGGAAATTTTTATTGAAAGTTACTGCTGGTTTGATCTTGATACTATCATCTGATTTTGCTATAAGCTCTTCACTGTGCAGTGCAATAGAGTAGTATACAGTTCAGCTAGAAAAATTACAGTCCCTTAGGAACCATGTGTGGAAAACATACATTAGGTCATCAAGTCCCAGCTCCTGTGAGTATTGGATTTTTCCACGTGATGTGTTTGTAGTGCCAGGTTCTGTGCTCCTGATTACAGGGTTATATGGCTTCCCTTAAAAGCTTTTGATTAAAACTGATAGTAAGTAACTATTCCCAAGTGTTCACCTTAAGTCTTGGTTTTTCTAAAATAGTTTCATTACTTCCATTTATTCTTTGCACTGCTTTGATAATTTCCTCTGCTTCCAGAGCAATTTGTACTTCAGAAATGGGCAATTATCACATCAGTAACTGGCCAAGTTTGTTTATTTAATTCTTATAGACACTGAATTTAATTCTTATAGACCTTTTTACATTGCTGTGGGAATTTTAGAGGATCATGAAATGGGCAAAAACTATAGGTGAATATATTTTAAGGTAGAAATATGATCATAAAGTGCATTTAAGTGACCTTAAAATTGCAGATGAGGAGGTTTACTTGATGTCCATGTTGATATTACTTCCAGTGCTGTTTGCTTAATTAAAAGTAACTTCCTCTATTCCTGTTGCTGCTGGTTCTGTTTCAGTACCATGCAGATTAGGTATTTGCTCAGCTACTTCACTGGATAGCTAGACAAGATAGAAAAAATTGAAGTTAAAGGATCATTTTTTCTACTTTTTGGATGCAGAATTGAGTCACACAGAATATGGATTATTCACCTGCAAGTAAAGTTTAAAGGGAGAAAACTAAAAAAATATAACATAAAAAACACTGTCTAGTACCTCCATCACATTGTCTTTATTTAGCCCTTTTTTCTATCTTTATCTTACTGTACTCAGAAGCCCCTCAAGGAGCTCTAAATGATACTATCTTAGCTGAAAATGTACTGAACCAAGACCAGGTTAGGTCCAGGATCTCTTGCCTCTGCTGTTTAATTTACTCTGTTGTTATTTATTCACTGCATTTTTCATTGTCTTTGGCTGTGCATCATATCACCTGTTAGCCTGTAGTGACGCATGAATATTCTTCCCCTTCACTCATTTTTTCACATAGAATAACAAAAATTAACCAAATTCTCTCCGGTGCAAGCAAAACTGGAATCCACATTGCCAGTTTTGGTTTTTATTTATTGGGGTTTTTTTTTAGATTTCAGGGAAGGGGAAAACGAAACTCTTCTAAAATATATGTGGTTTTTTAATTTATTTTTTTATTTTAATTGTGTCATTGTCCAGTTTCCCTGACTTTAAATCCATGACTTCAAGATTTATGGAACATATCTGAGCATGTAGTAAACTGATCTGGATGAGAGACCTGTTACTTAGAGTAACACAGCAATTTCTTTGCTAATGTTTCCAAGATTAGCGAAACCAGATTAATATTAAAACTCCAGATTGTTGCCTTTAGATTTGACTTTTTAAAAATTGTAATTACCAAACCTGCTCTGTATTAATGCTTGAGCACAGTGCTTAAGACAGACAGAAAATGAGAGACAGCGCTGCAAAAGGAAAAATTCAGTGGTTGCTAAAAGACAAGTAGAAAGTGTGTGAGAAAGGATTTCATGTCCAGTTTCTTCATGGCTGACTTTTCATGTTTGACCAGGTATTTTAGGTACATGTTTTGGGAGAGATGCATTAAAGTTACTTCAGTAGTGTTGGTTCAATACTTTTGTAGGGTGCTATTTTTTGATATTTCAGCTTGAGTGTTCTTTCAGAATATTTATTTGTTTAATTAAAAAGAAAATTGGTCATAAGTGTTTTGGCATAAAATCTTGTCCTCCGAGCTCCAAAAGATGAGTTGGTCAAAACACATGTATTTCTACCAGCTTAGTTTGATAGCTTGAAATAATTACCATAATTTATTAAAATAATTCTTTTAAGGTAGTAATCAGTTTTATTTGCATATCATAGATCAGTTCTACCTATAGCCTTTGAAGAAAGAGTCATTTGAATTTATGCATCATGATTTTTTGTGATAGTTTTCCCACCTGAGCACAAAACTTGGTGTGACAGATTGAGTTACAGAAGCATGAAAGCAGAAAGAAAATTAAAAATTTCTAAATCAACATTTTTTAAAATAATCTCTTAAAAAAAGTGTAGAAAAGAGTGTCCTTTCAGTGTATCTGTAAGTTACTATACTTTCTGCATATCAGGTTGAACATAATACCTGAGGGAGAAGAGAAATTTATGTGATCAATACATTTCAAAATGAAGTGATGGTCTTCACTCCAGGGAGATAGAGCCTATAGTCAAATACACAAATAAATAAATAATTACTTAAAGAAATTAAATGCTTTAATTACAGTTTTCCTTTGAGACATGTAACGCCTAGGAAGATAATAGCACCTTTCTGCTGGAAAATTTGGCTTTCTTGCTTACAGCCTCTGGGTACTGCTCTGTCTCTGACATCCATAACTCTCTCTGATACTGTTCAAAAGTAGTTAAGCGAATTTCCTACATTGTCATATTGATATCACATACTGGTTTAATGCCTTTAAAACAATTCTTCCTTTAGGTGGATAATTAAATGAGTAATTTTAATTGTATCCTTAACAAATGAACCCAGAAAACTCACAAAGGAGTAGACGAAATTCTCTTTCGTAGCACCATAAATTAATGTTATTAATTCAAATTACAGGATGAGGTATTATGGACTTTAAAACCGTTATTTTAAAAAATCTCTGTCTAGTCATAGTTCAAAATGACAGTTGTACCACTGGTTTCATATTTGTTCAGTAGTACTCCTGTAATTCAGGAAATAAACTCTATGCTGTTATGTTTAGTCATTAGAAATCATTTAAGCAACCTGCTCTGGTATGAATTTAGCTTCCATACTTCTTGGTGTATGAAAGCTATATTCATTTCATTGTTTTAAATTCTGCATAAGGTATATGAATATATTTCTAGCATTTCTTTGTCTTTTCAGTTAAATGTTCTTAAGATCAGGATCTATGTTTAGTGGCTTTGTAGAGAGTTAATTTAATGATAGCCTTCAACTACATTATGCATACTGAGTGTGCATTAAGTTTAGCTGCACATAGTGTATGAATATGACTTCTAGCAACCTCATCTTTTCTCTCTAAATTCTTAAGGTGGTCTTCAGAGACATTCATTGCCATGTTTTTCTTCATTGTTTTCATTTGAATTCTGTTTGCTGAACCTTATGTGGCTGTCTGGTAATCTTCCAGCTAGTCTGGTCTTTGCTTGCTAGTCTGTTCTTTGAAGCTCCAGTGTTCACATCACTACAGATCCTTCTGTGCATGTCATTCTCACTCCACAAAGACATGCACAGAAGTGACATCTTTCATTCAGGTCCCAGACAAACCCTTCAAACAGGCCAGCTGTCATGAAATCAAACTGCTTATAGGCCATCTCTGCTTTCACTCTTTCCTCACTCTCATTACAGTTCAGCATCAGTTCCTCTGCTCTGACCTGAGATTTTCCCTCTAGAATACTTGCTGCTCTCTGTATTTTTAGAGCTTGCTTACACATGAAAGCTCAAACTTACCTCTGTTGATTGTAACTAATTTTTATAAATATTAGAGAAAACTGGAAGATGTTACTTAAACAAAGTTTTGTTATTTTTTTGGCAGAAGAAATGCTACAGAGAGTATGAAATAGGTTTTCATAATACTGTCAATGTTTTTGTTCTTACCACTGGTGTAACATTATTCAGGTTACATATTACAAGCATTTAAATAATCATTTAAACAGGATCATCCATCAGCAGATGGAATATATGACATCTCGTTTCCTATGAATTCCAGTCCTCATCTTTTTTCCAGTGATCATCCTAGCTCTGTGTAAAATCCCTCTGACACCTACATGTCCTGTACTATGAGATTTGTGTCTGTTGAGGTATACTCTGTGAGCAGAGTACATAATGGTTGTGTTCTTGCCTTGCCCTCAGCTCAGGTTCTTATCCTCTTTTCAGCTGATGATCTTTATTTACTTGTGGAGTTTATGGAGTTTAGTTATCCTTGAGATTTCTGTCCGTGATAAATGAGATTGAAGTCAGTGGGGATGTTGAAGAATCATCTGGAGGAAATGGGAAAGGCAGGCAGCTCAAGTAGGGTTCCTTTGAATATACACAGGTAGGCTGTGCCATTTCAGATACCTCTGCTTCTGGTTGCTGTTTGTGAAGGCTGCACATGTCCTTTAAGTCATGTATGAAATTTCCTGGGCCTTTGTGGGTATCTCACATACCCTAGTATCTTTTCTAAATGCCATCAACTTCCTGCTTTTAGGCTTCTGAGTCCTACCCGCAGAGAGCTGGCATTGTTGTGTAAAGGTGCTTTCTTTAAGAAACCTGCCAAGGAGAGGAGCATAAGTAGTATGGTAGATGTTAGTGGGCAGAGAGCAGGGAGAAAGAACTGCTAAAATTTAGGTCTGGGGTGGAAAATGTGTTCCCATTCTCATATATATGTTTTTTGTTATTTACACTATGCATCATGAAATTTCCATGTAATGGATCAGATTACTTGAGTTAGAAGCCTTTTTCTCTCCAGTGTGTATGTTAGTCTGTTAAACCTAGGTGAGCATCTACCTCAGAGAACTAAACTTGACACTGTGAATACTGTCCTCAGTGCTTCTTTTGCCCTGCTTGTTCTTTTCTAATGTTTTACTTCATTAACTTGTTCATACTGTAATGTTGAATTAAAATTAGCGCAGGAAAAATACAGTTAGTGAATTTCAGTGTGTGGTAAATACTACTGTTTTATTAATACAAGTGGAGAATGTATTTGTCTAGGTGAAATATATGCAAACATGGTTTCCTAAAGGTTGTTTAAGTTGTTCACGTGAACTTTTTGTTTTTCCAGTGGTTTGGTGACCTTGTGACTCCAGTTTGGTGGGAGGATGTGTGGTTGAAAGAAGGTTTTGCTCACTATTTTGAGTTTGTTGGGACAGACTACCTCTACCCAGGGTGGAACATGGTAAGTCAGTTCTATTTTGTTAATGTGGAGACTCCACAGAAAAGTTGCTCTGCTGTTAGACAGGGACTGCTGAAAAGTACTAAATGATGCATGCAAGTATCGGGTGTCGAATGAAGCAAAATCGCTAGGTGTGAAGTAATTTTACAGCATTGCAAAAGTGTAATCTGCAATTTATTGCAAAAGAAATAATGTCGTGTCTATCATAACCCAGCATTAAAATAGCTACTGTCTCTCTGCTTAGAAATATTTTTGATTAAAGCAGTTATGATTTAACATGGGCTATTTTTTAAAACATTGAGAACATTGATTTTATCCACAAGATAAATTGGAAAGAAATGTTTGGCTAAAACATTCTATGACAATGAGCATATTTTTTCTTACAGTATTCTGTTCTCCTCTCCCTAAATATACTCTTTTAATCTTCCTGGTATTGTTTGCATATCTAGAGTAAATGCTAAATTAACATAGGTTGCATAAATTGAGAATTTATGTTTTGGTATGTTTTCTAGCTGTACACAGTGGGACATACTTTTTCAACCCGTGTGCAAATACAGGAGCTCTCTGAGGGAACTGGGAATTCCATGTTGGGACATTATTTTGGAGTCCTGTTATATCATATTGTACCTAGACAGAATTTATATGAATTGCTGTAGTCTAGCTATATTATATTTAAGAAAAATAAGAGAGATGAGACCTCAGTACAAGGAAATAATATATGAGACCATGTTGAAGGTTCCAATACAGATTTTTATTGTCCTTTGGAGGCGTGCTAATGTTTGCTAACTTTTTATGCTTATATATGTTTGATTATGTGACAAAATATTTATTATAGATCATGATTGTCTGACAGAGATTTGTTGGGGCTTGAATGTTTTGCTTAAGCTCTTAAAAACTAACATCTGAATATTTTTTCCATTTCTATGTGCTTTCTTGAGTATACTTATCCCATTAACTTATGGCACCATAAAATGAAGATGCTATAATTATGAGTTAAAACTAATTTAAAAAAAAATAGTTGTATACAGGTTACTCTTGAGTTAGTTATGCTTCTTGTGAAATTTGAATTCTTTGTAGTATTTTAATTTTTTCTTTCAGGTGTCAATTATGATTTATAATTGCATTATGAAAAGGAAAACAAACCTTTATTTGAACTGACAACTTTCTTGCATAGGTAGGCTTGTTGGGTTTCCCTGGGTTTGGCTGTATTAAAACTCATTCTGTTCATCTTTATAAAGAACACAACCTGAATTACAATGTAATGATTCTAATTATGAATGCAATGAAATCTGGCAGGCCTTTGTGTTTTTAGCATAGTGAAGTGTCATAGATGACAACATTTATACACTGAATTTTATCTTCAAATCATCAGTCATTTGTTCTTCACATAATCGGTCTAACAAATTCAGAATATCTATGCTTAAGAAGTCATTTGGAATATAGTATATTTGCTTGAAATTTCTGTGGAATGAATATAATGTTCACTGTTATGCAAATAACATGCCCATCATGTGAAATCTTGGCATTTTAGCAGAATACAAGCAAGAAGAGTGGATTGAACAGGGGATGGCAGTTAAATTGGGAAATCAGAAATGTGCTGCATAAATTAGAATTAACTACGTAATATTGCTGTGCCTGAAAAAGTATTAATCTGTCAAGTTTTTCCTTAAATTAAAAAGAAAGAGAGTTCATAAGGCTTTGAATATCTTTGGCCTTTGATATAAAAATGATCATATTGACATATTTAAATGATGACAAAATGAGATGAAACTCAAAATGGCTTAATCATACTTCATTCTTTTGCAGACTACTAGAGTAGGAATCAATACTGTTGTGTTTCAGCATGTTGATTACATAGATTGTAGGAAGAGGAAGCAAAAGTTACAGTTACTGAAATTTGGCTTGCTGAAAATTTTGTTATTCCTATAAAGTGCATTTGCTGTTTAAACATATTGGCTGACATTTGTAAACTTGAAAAAATTAAAGCAATCATGTATAAAAAGAGAAACTGTTCCAAGCAACTTACTGTTTTTTAGAAGAGAAGGATGAAGTACAAGTTGCAAAAACAAGAACTAGAAGCCTTATTTTCTGTCATGACGGCCAAATAGTGCAATATTCCAGTATTCTGTTTGGTGTTTTGTCAGTAGTAATTCATACCTATGAATTATAAATAAAAAAAATGTATGCTGCATGTTACCACAGCTCTTTGTGTCAGGAAAATAGTGATAAACTAAAATCCTCTTTATTTCTAAAGAATTGGGAAAGTTTGATAGCTAACTTCTTTCCCTCATAGTTTTGAAATGTTAACCTTGAAGGTTTGCTCAAGATGCCCATGGATTAAAATGTCAAAATCAGCTTATTTTTAGCTTACTAAAGACTTTTTGTCACATTCTTTTTTGGATAAATGTAGAAGCAGAAGACTGGTAGTCCATTCCAGAAAAAGGACTTTTGTCTGGAAATGCAGCTTGGGCAATGGATTCACCTGAAAAAATGGTATCTATCCACAGCTTCCTCTCTAAGTTGTTGATATTTATAGGCTACAGGAATGTAAGCTTTCACCATTAAGGCTTATAAAGCACTAAAGTTTTGATATGACTTGTCTGAAAATGTTTCTCTTTTAGCAGAGCTGAGCATTTTTCAGTGTCCATCTTATCAGGCATTCACAGCCTTGGTATGGCTGAACCTGAGACTCTTGAGAATAGCTGTCTTTTAGGCATGTTCATACCAATACTACTTAAACCAAAAGCACCAAGTTCTGCACAAAAAAGGGATCTATGATTTTTGTCTGAAACCCATGTCTTGGCTTTTCCTTCTTCTCCAGGTTCTTTAGCTTTCTTAAATATTTCTTCCCCCTGCCATTTTTCATTTTATCAGTTTTCTTTAATTGTCTCATAGACTATTTTACAATAGGAAAGATGAATGGATAACAGTGCCAACTACCATGGAGCTGCAACACTTTATTGAGCATTCCAACACGTGAGGAATTTCTTGTGTTGTCCAGAAAGCATCTACTGCCATACTTCATCATGCTTGCATAATCTTAATGAGAAAGGAACTCCAGTCTTTATCAAACCCTTGCTATCCTTATGTCCTGGATCCTCTAGCTGAGGTCACTTGGTCTGTTCAACCCCGAGGAGAGCAGACTGAGGGGATCTCATGGCAATCTACCACTTCCTCATGAGGGGAAGAGGAGGGGCAGACACTGATCTGTGATGACCAGTGACCTGAGGGAATGGCCTGAAGTTATCAGGGGAGGTTGAGGTTAGCTACTAGGAAAAGGTTCTTCATCCAGAGGGTGGCTGGGCACTGGAACAGGCTCCCCAGGGAAGTTATCATAGCACCAAGCCCATCTGAGTTGAAGCAGTGTTTGGATAGTGCTCTTGGACACATGGTGTGACTCTTAGTGATGGTCCTCTCCAGAGCCAAGACTTGGGCTCAGTGATCCTTGTGGGTCCCTTTCAACTCAGATTATTCTCTGATTAAAATTTTGGGTGAATAAGAGAATGAAGAGGCATTCTGATGGAAGTGTCCGTTATCCATTACAATTATGTAAAATACATCAGAACTTTCCCAAGGAAGGGAATGAAATTTTGCTGGTTTTAAAACAGGAAGATGAGCTTTCTGTGCTGAGATTCTTAATGATTATCCCAGTGTCTTAATATCCTTTTCCAAAGCTAAGTCGCTTCAGATTAAAGCTAGAATTTCTCATTTCCTTCCTTAAGCTAAAAAAGGAAGGCCTTGCATGTTACTTTTTACCTTGTGAAGATGAAGCTATGTTTAATTTTGCAGGAAAGCTCTCTCTGCTATACAGTGATTAGACATTTGCCATGGGAAAGAATTCACCGTTCTTCCCATTTCAGCCTCTTGCCTTGCCTGTCTCCCAAATTAAGAGTTTCTTTTAAATTCTAATTCTGAAATGCTTTAAATTCTTGCTGCTAGATCTCATTCTTAAAGGGCTGGGAAGTTTAAACGGTTGTTTCTATGTTGTCAGGATGATTTTAAAAAGAAAGCTGTCTTTGCAAAGTGTTCCTCTGAGATCGGGGAATTTTGCTTGATCATGTGTGCTCAGAATAGTCATCTGCATGGGAATTCCCTGGCTGTTGCTATTTCATGATTTAGAAAAAGGCGAGATTTCTGTATTAGAGGCTTCCCATATGGTTGTCTCTCCATGTCATCAAAAAGCAACCACAGCTGGATTTGAGTTCTTGAGCTGTAAGATCTTATGACCAATACAAGGTAATCTCACTTCTGTGCAAGGGGCCTTTGCTGGTTTTAGAATCAGAGAAAATTACAGCGGAAAACTCCGTGACGGTAATTTCCACTTCAGAGCTCTGTCTTTGCTCATCTACCATGCTCACCTTCCTCCTTTCAGAGGCCTGTTTGCAGCTGTATATTCCATCTTCCTCTTGGCTTGTTTCTCTCATATCCTGAAGTCCTTTGCATGTGGCTTTGTAAAGGAAGGAATTCAGCTGAGGCTTGCAGATCCAGAAATTTATTGGCTGATCTTTTCCCTCCATATTTTCTGGTAGAAGGAACCATCATGTTTGTCCTTGAATGTCTCTGGTACTGGGGTAGATTTTGAGGACTATGACAGCAGGAATTACTGGCATGTAATTTGACCATACATCCATCAAATGAGCATCAAATACTTTAGCAGTCAGTACCTGGCTTGGTGCTGAGAAAGCATTTCACAGAGCCCAGCTGCCTTCTCCCTTTTCATTATTATATAAAAGTTTGCTTTGCTGACAACTTCACTGGCTGAGTCAAGGTGTAGCACACTAGCAATAGCTTTGCATCCTATGTCTTCTTGATCCTATGTCTTCTTAATGCCTTGGGATAGGATTTCCTGCCTTCTTATTTGCTTACTACTTTTATAATTAAGGATGATCATATCTGCCAGAATTTTTCTTAAGAATGAAATTTTAAATTAATTTTTCTTATTAAATTGAAAACTTTTTACCTGTATAGAAGGGTATCTTTCCTCCTTCCTTAAGTGAGCCGTG